TCTGATAGATAAAAAATCAAGATTTGAAAGAAAAAATATTGAAATATGAAAATTTACATATTGTGGTTTGGAACCTTGAAGAACAATATTATGAGGTCAGTTTTTCTGTAAAAAAATCCTTATTTGATTTCATAAAAAAATACCGCTTTTCATTTCAATAAAAACGCATGGCTCTGTTTAAAATGATGTTCGTCTCTGAAAAACTGATCTCACTGATGAATATTCAGGGGAGCTGTTTGAAATGAGACACGCTGTACATATATTGTACTGGGGCCTCTCTTTAAATTGCGAGTTGAGAGAACTTATTGACTTTCAAGTTTCTCCAGTGATTTTTACAAATAACACATCAATTACCAATTATTCAAGGTTACAATCAATAAGAAATCGACCACTCAGTATGGGTTTGGTAGAGAAACCCCAAATCCATTATCGCCACTTGTAATAATGCCTTTTTGTATTGAATAAACAACCATAATGCATATAAGAGTTGATTTGATACAATTATTGTATTCAATTCGAATACTATACGTAGGTCATTTCATTGGCCATTTTCGTATGAATGACTGTATACTATAAAGTCAGCATTATTATCACTTCATCTGGATAAGCAAAATTGGAGACGAAGGATTGTCTAAACAGTTGTTCTGTAATATACGCAAGTGCTTTTTTGTATAGTTTATCTTATCAATGAATTAACTTTACAACTGCCAACACGGTTGAACTATTAGTACGGGTGTATACTATAGGAAATATTCATGACCGTTTCATTTCTAGAAAAAATACTTTAGCATCATCAAGATGAGAAAAGACACAGAGAATTTTTTTGATTTCTTATTCTCTCTAGATTTCCCAAAATGAATTCCCAGAGAATAGATATTATTGGCATTCAATTACTCCACTGTGTCTTTGGGGACCTAAATTCATTTCACACTACTCTCCATTGGCGTATACAGGATTTTTGTTTGGGGGGGGCTGTGTTAAGAAAAAGTGGTGACCAAAGAAAAGCGCCGCAGGTTAATAAACATTTGTCGGAGCCACGCCCAATTTATGTCCGTAATTCATCCTAAACATACCGAAACGCTACGCGGGTATTCTCTTTTGTCAGCCGTCGGGACGGCAAATATTTTTGCATCGGGGTGCGAGTTTGCACTTATTCGCTTTTTGTTTGTGAGATGGAGGAATCCTGTTTACCCCTTCTCTCAAAAACAAACTAGTATAATAGTAGTAATGAACACAGTGACACTGATACACTCTTATTACACTTGGAAGAGGCTTTTTCCTTTTTAATACTTTGTTCAGCGGAGAAAACGGCAAATACCTACGCCTACTAAAATCGTAATGTGAGTATGTTTAGCAGCATCAGCCCTTCCATGAGCCCTTCCTGCGCTTTCGCAAGTTTCTTCACGCGACATCTCACGAGTCACGATGTGTCCCGACTGTCGCAACGATTATATATATAAAATTAATATTTTCGAATAATGTTCTGTTGATTTGTTTATTACGTAGGTTATAGAGAAGTGATGAATATTGTCGTACGTCAGAAGTGGTTATAATATGTAAAAATTATAAATTATCCTCCTAAGACTTGCCGTGATGGGGGGGGCTGTAGCCCCCTGGATACGCCTATGCTACTCTCACGCTTTTTTATGTAAATAATGAGTGTATGCGTTGTTCGAAATTGGCCATGTTCTGTGATACGTAGGGTTTCATCGAGACGAGAAATCTCGTCTCGAAGGCACTTTCTCGTCTCGTCTCGATCATCGAGACGAGAAATAAACGAACTCTCGTCTCGATCTTTTTCTCGAAGACAATTTCTCGATCTCGATTCGAGACTCGAAATTTCGAGAGTCTCGAAAACAAAAACTGAACGTTATTAAAAAATGCTATGTATAGGTTATAAGGCTGAACCAAAATACAGGGTATTGAATTTTCTCTATAAAAAAATTACGTCAAAATACAGAGGCTATATGCTATGAACTAAAAGCCACATATAAAAAAAATCGAGTATCAGCACAAAAATAAAAATTATTGAGCAAATTATTTTATCTCAATAGTAGGGGTCGAAGTACTGCATAGTGAAATTTATGCAAAAATGGTGGCATAAGAATATCCTTCGAAGTGATATAGTAATAAGCTTGGACCAACATTTTTGAAGAATACAATAGAAATAAAGTTGAATTTATGGCCCTACTCTGAAAGGCCAGACTGATAATAATAATAATAATCATCTTTTAATTATTGTAATAAAGAAATATTAAATAGCATTGTACAAAACTTTGAAATTGTTGTTTGAATCTTATAAAAATATAATGATAATCATTGATCTCATTCTCATTTCTCCCTTGTGTTTCGACCTGGCAACACTGACCGGGCATTGTCAGTAGCGGGATGCAGGAGGGTTTTGTTTGTTTACTAATCTTTGGAATTATGTGATATGTGATGAATCCGTCAGTACAGCCCGTGCCGTGTTAGGGCACTGCGTTTTCATGTTATTTATGAAAGAAACGGAGCCGTAATAGAGCGCAAGTTGCAGTCTGCAGTTCGAGATCGAGAAATCTCGAAATAATTTCTCGATCTCGAACAATCTCGAAGTGCTTTTCTCGATCTCGTCTCGGAAAAAAGTTAGTCTCGACTCGATCTCGTCTCGAAATCGAGACGAGACGAGAAATCTCGAATTTCGAGAGTCTCGTGAAACCCTAGTGATACGTGGAATGAATGGTGACGTCAGTTTTTATGCTGTTTCTTTATTCAGTCAGATAATCTTCCATTCCCACTCATGAAGCAAGGTTGTCAAGTCACCTATTATAGTCAAGTTACCAAAAAGATGTTAGAGTCCTGTCGTTAAATAAAATATAACAGTGTGTCATGATATTATAGTTGATTTTTGACTTTATCGAGCAACCAGCATGTCCAGATATTTATTTTACTCCATAACAAAATATCTGACAAAACAACGCCCACAATTCGTGCGCCATGTTGTCACGTGTACGGATTCAAATATATTCAATTAATATAATTATTATGTACACAAAATTATAGATATAGTCGAGGATGAAGTGGTCTTGGTGGGACTAAGTCCCATAATGAATTTCACATCAGTAATTGATGATTTTTGGTAAACTTGTAATCCTGTTTGGTTTTTGGCATCAAAAATTGCTTCTGATATTATTTTATTTTGCTCTTTCGAATTTTTGATGTAACCTTCAGCAACAGTATTGCTTTTCAATCCGCCATGGCGTTTCACGGTACACAGATCAGCTCCAGAATCAGTCAAAAATGAAGCAGACGATCGCCGAAAACAATGTCCGGTATATTCTTCAGGATGAGGTAAATTCAGAAAAGTGGCAATAACTTTTGGCATTTTACTAATTGTATGTCGAGTTGTATGTATTCCAATGGGTTGTTTTGTGCATTTTTTCATTTTTATAAGTGACAAAAAAACGTTGATGGTTTGTGTTGCAAGGTCGTATTCTCACATATTATTCGGGTCGATTCTGTTCGGATCTTGTTATTACATTGCTTAGATAATAATATTGTTATGATCATAACATATAACAATATTGCTATGAAGTTGTGTATTCTGTTTGCAGAGTAACTGCAAGATTGGTTATAAGTTCAAGTGATATAGTTGAGAAATTGAGAATTTTTGAGCTGACAACACTGTTTTCGACTCATTTTTTAAGTGTTAGGTATCGATTTTGCCATTATTTCATGAAGAAGAAGAGTTCATGATTATCTAACCTCTCAAATTAGTCAGTCGTGCACTGACATTTTACAAAATTATATCATTCAAAATGTGGTCGTCGTTGTGCGACTGGTGCAAGTGATCAATCATGTCCCCGAAATGAGAAAACAACTAAAAGCCGGATGAAAATAATCGTGATTTTTGTTTGAATGTTCTAGCAAAATAGCAAATCCATCACGTAACTGAAATGGTTTTCTGGTTTCTCTAATATGCCGAAATTGTAGTCATATTTCCTCTACAAATTGGAACTCCAAGAATAGGTTGTCAAGTAGTTGGTCACAGTCACAGTTTAAGGAATTCTAAGTATTTCAATGATTCTTATACAAGTTGAAACTTTGAGGAAAGGTTTTCGAGTAGTCAGTGACACAAGTGAACTCTCATATGTTTTTAATCCACTATTTTCTGAATTTTCATACACTTGGAAGAATTTGTAGTGCAAAAACAAAGAAACCACTACCTTGTTATAAGATAGCAAGCACAAAATTGATGTTGCCGAGATAGCAAGAAAGGTGTTATTGAAATTGACAGATCATATTGCCAAAAATCGATGATTAGAATTCCACTTTTTCGAATCTTGTTATGATAGCAATATCTTCTCTACAACCATATTGCTATTTGCAAACAGAATCGACCAGATTGTCTGACAAGTTCTACCATATTCAATCCTGGGATATTCTCCGAAGTTACAAAAAACTTCAGCTTTACATATACTTACTCCTTAAAAATAGTTGTCATTGTGACATGTCAAAAATGCAATTTTTAATTTTTCGATAACGTATTAATATAAATGCCATCAGATAAAATTTTGTATGTAATACGAATCATAAACAATCATTATGGCACACGTCGTGTTATCGGACGTAATTAATCGAAATAATACTATGGAGGCATTAATTGGTTAGGCCGATAGTGATTCGCTATTTCCATTATGTTTCTTCTCAGGATCGGCCGGACATTTTCAGTTTCTTGCGCCCAGTCAGCAGCGAGCGAGGCGCAATATTAATACCTCGCTATGGTGCTATGGCTAGACTCTAGTTGAAACCACGGCCGTATATTTTCTAGGAACGAGTAGTCCTTTTTTGTTCTGAAAACAAATCGATTCACAAGTTATCCTGAATCATCACGGGGGAAATGCAGGTTGTGACGATCTTTGTCCTCAGATAAAATAACGCCGATAAAATCATTATCTGAATACCTATACCTATAACAAAATAACATACCTACCTTCGTTGCTGTGTGCAATATCTAGACGGCTAGTCTAGTTTTAGTTGAGCTCCCGCGCTAACCGTTCGTCGTACGCATCACACATCGCGCATGTCGCACTTCTCTTTATTTATCATTGCAGTAGGCCTAGAGAAATGATTAGGGAAATCATAAACAATCATAGACGCGCTCTGGCCGAAAAAAGGTGGTTGGTGTTGTTGTGCTGTCACGCGTTTTTGGACGAGAGTAAACGGAAATCGGGATGCGGTGATTGTTACATTATCGAACGCCAGGTGTCCTTCCATTCGATTGAGGAGGAAGAAGAGGAGGAAGAGGAGGAAGAGGAGGAGGACTTCAGGATGGTGTCGACTTTCGAGTACGAAACTAGGCTGCCGAAAAGTTGTCTGTTGGAGTTGGAGGTAAACTATTTGAAATGATAGATGTCATTGTTGACATGTCGTGCGAAGATATACCTAGTCGTTTGACATTATCATAACGAGAGACGGATTGAGTAATAGTATATTAGGTAAAACTGCATTTATCATGCGATGGTTTTTTTTTTCGAGAATGTTTTTTGGTTATTATTATTATCATTATTTCACTATGGAGTTACGAATTTCACCTTCTTTTCCGCCTGTCTTCTGGCTCGCATATTCAGAACAATTTGCCCTTGTTTTTTCATCATTAGACACTTTATACAGGGCGAGTCAATAGTATGTTCTCCTTCGATATTAGTCAAACCGTCAGGTATATAAAAAAATTCGAATACAACAGTTATAGAATTTTATTAGTGCTATCACCTGAAATTATTTTCATTTCTATAGGATGTTCGAATTCCAAGATATTGGCTGATGATGGGTATTTTTAAATGGGACACCCTGTATATTATTGCATTTTCAAATTTTTCCTGAAGAGCTGATTTCATCAATGCATTACACTTGGGGTCTAGCGGAAATGATTTCAGAGATATAGGGTGTTCAGCATCGAAACTTTTTAAATTTGGGATTTTTTTGTGTCAGAACTATTCATTATTGGTCGAAACGGCTTACATGTCTCTATCTCAACGTTTGATTTACTATCTACTGAAATTTAATTGGAATAGATACAGGGTGATCAGAAATCTTGAATTTTGAACCACCCTGTATTTGATCCAATTAAGTGTCAGTAGATGGTGAATCAAAAGTTGAGATAGAGATAGGGACATTTAACCCGTTTCGACCAATAATAAATAGTTTTAACACAAAAAAATCACAAAGTTGAAAAATATAGAATTTGAACACCCTATATCCCTATAAACATTTCAGCTAGTCCCTAAGTGCGATACATTGATGAAATCAGCTCTCAAAGGAGAAAACACCCATCATCAACCGATATCTTGGAATTCGAACACCCTATAGACATGAAAATAATTTTAGGTGATAGTTCCCAAGAAACCCTATAACTGTTGTATTCGAATTTTTTCTATATAGCTGACGGTTTGGCTAATATAGAAAGAGAACACACTATTGACTCACCCTGTATATATCACAATAATAATAATAATAATAATAATAATAATAATAATAATAATAATAATCCGTCTTTATTTCCTCAAAAGAATATTACATGGTAACATGAGGCATAGGTGGTATGTGCATCAGGCGAAGTTTAGCTAGGAAGCTATATGTACAACACATTTTTTTATCATCTGAGTACAACACATTTTTTTATCATCTGAGTCAACTAGAAATAAGATTTTCTTGTGATTTATCCATATTACGTGAAAAGAAGGAAGAATATAATTTGAAATATTGGCGCGTGTAATGTCATTCAAAAGCAATTTGTTGACATTTGACATCTCGTATTTGGATTGACTATTGATTAAATGGCCGTGATATGGTATGCTTGTTCAATAAATATGGAAAACGCCATAAACATCATATTTCTTGTTGTATTTTCTACATAAAAATGTGTCATTGAAGTTCATCATGAGTATATAAAGTGTCCAATGACAAAATAAGAAGAGCAAGTAGATGTGAATGCATCCAACACAAGGGGAAAAAGAGATGCGTTTACGTTGGTTTAGGTTCGGACCAGATAGCGGTCAAGAAGCTATCTGGGACAGCCCTGCATTGATGAGAGCCAACAGCTCGAAACCGGTCTGTAGGTAGTCACGCGTTCCTGAACCACTTAGGCGCAGCTCGGCGTTCAGGAAGGAAACACTTGCGATTTCACTCCTCTATACGAATTATTGCATAGGTTCCGGGAGGATGTAATCCAATTCTCTGCTTGGCATATAGCCAGGAAAGTAGTGTTTTTCTCCCGTTATCTACCATTTTCGTTCATTCGTGTCTATCATTATCCTTGTTATGTTTTTGTTAGCTGCTATCTATTCAATAAAATTGACATATCAACAATATATCATCAGAAATTCATTTCGATAATGAATGGGCAGCGGACGAGGCAGCGGATAACCATTCTATCTAGGAAAAACTGCAGAATATTTATAGCGATTGTTCGCCATATGTGACTCATTTATTGAATGTTTATATACATTTTGTTCGATTGATAAAATCATATCTGGAGATAAATAAAGACTCGTAACTCAGAAGGATGAATGATTTTATGAAAGCTGAAGGTTGTACATGACATGAAATTTTCTACATCTACATCTACAACGAGATTTGAAAATTTCCCAAAATATTACATTTTTTTCTAAGAGAAATTTCGTACTGGAATCTGAATGAAAAAACAAAAAATCTAGTACGTCACTTGAAAACAATTGAAATTTTTTAAAACCGTGTGATCGTGCTTTCTGCACGGAATTTTGTATAAGTATTTTACAAATTTCATTTTGATCCCCGTATTGTTTTGAATGACATTTACAGGGTGACATTGAAATAAATACAACTACCAAAAAAATATATGGATCAAAATAAAATTTGGGGCGAGAACACTTTTTCCACCCAAAGTTCTACACTGTAGCAATTCTGGCCTCTGGGTTATAGTTCTGTGGTACAAAAAAGGTGAAAATGAGGTATTGGACTCTGAATTCTCAGAAAATAATATATAAAACCCAGTAACAACTTTAATGGTTTTAGTCTTACATGGGTCGATGCGTCTTGCCCTATAGTTGATAAGTTTATTAATAAAATTACTTCTCAAACTCGGGAAAGAACAGGCTTCATTTGAAAAGAATTTGATTTGTTATATTATTCTATTTAAAATAATCACCCAAAATATTACACACTGTTGCCCTAAATTACGTCGAATTTTTCGTTTTGATCTCGAATAACACTATTAATTTCTTTGTCTCCGTCGATTTGTTGGATTTTTTTCGGTTTTGCTTGTTTTTTCCTTTCTCTTATTCATTCACCTACAACGAAATGCAATAATATAACAAGCCACGTGGCATGCCACTACAGTATAGAAGTTTACCTAACAAGTGCGGAAAATTCACTTTACCTACTACCAATAGGTAATGTGAAACATTACGACACTGATTTCAATATCGTAATGAGATTCTTTACCGCACTAGTGCGGTAAAGTGAAAAAAATAAAATTCAAAATTTTATTTTTTCTCAAAAAAAGAAAAAAGAACCAACGAGGGCGGCTCGGTGGTCGAGAGCGTGAAGGCGCTGAGTTCGTATGGGGACTCCCACCGAGACATAGGTTCGAATCCTAGTTAGGCCATGGATGTTTGTGTTTGTCTGCTTACCTAACCCCGCACAAGTTTCGACTTATGGGGCGTTTGGTCCCAGTGCTGGGACCAACGAGGTAAAGCAATTGCAAAAAAAAATTATCATGAATAAAGACATACTATCAAGCAATAATCTACAATAATTATAATATTCAATATCTACAAAAATTGAACCTCATTCAAAATAAATGGTAATCTGAAAAATTAAACAAGAATTGATTATAATTATAGACATGATAGGTACTAACAATTACTTAGTATATTGTTTAACGAGCACGGAATGATGATGATTTCCTACGAGAATGAAGTTTGCAGCATGAGCCATAGGATATATACGGCAATATAATTGATGACATACAAAGTACCTCATTGATGTATCGAACACAGTAAAACAAGAGAAATCTTGTGTTATAGCCGTAGAAAATAGTATTTTGTGCAACAAGTGGAAAAAGTGATTTTCCCCACATGTTGCACACTATACTTTTTCTACAACTGCACTTATTCAAAGAATCCGAGTAATGTAGCTTATTGGTATTCATTTTATAATGTGGCACTATGCCACATTGAATATTGTGACCAAAGAGTAGACGCCTTTCCTATAGTTCCTCAAAGTATTTAAAAAAAGTACACTTTCCGAAAAAGATTTAATTTCTGTATTTTCTTAGATTCCATAAATGTTTCGTACCAATATGCCAATTCATACTTTTTTCTTGAAATTTCCGGAAACAAATCCAACTTTCGCAGCTTTTTCCATTATTTCTGTCTCTGGCGGTGTATTTATCAAAATCGTCACATCTCGGTATATACATCATATTATTTATTATGAATTGTTGGAATAATATTTGATGGAAAATGCGATTTCTATCAGAAGCACTAATGAGAACAACCCTAAAGAATTTAAAAAACTTCTTCTGACAGTTGTGACAACTATTCAAAGCTGGACAACAGCCAAGTTTTGGTCGATTTTTGTTGATTCTCCATGGAAATGTATGTGGTGTTGGCAAAGTGCCGAGAGAAAAAATATTTCTCACAGTATGAGCAATACATGATTTTCAATCTGAGTTAGCTATGAGAAATGCGCTACTTTTCATACCAGTAGTAGGAAAAATGTTTGTCCTGTCTGAATTACAGGGTGTTTTTTTTTGAAAATTTTGAAGTTATCAACAATTGTGCAGCTTCATGTTCAACTTCGAATATCTCGGACACTTCCGCTCGTGTCGGCCATTTTGTGTGGCTTGTCATTATGTCGGGTAGTAGTAGAAAAAGTAAACCTTAATAGTGTGACCATAGGTTTTTCGTGCCATTTATCAACGAAGGCCCCTAATAATTTTGTAGTGTCTTGTTATCATATTGTTTCAACAGAGAAGAGCACTACCTCTTTTTGAACTCTTGTGAGGCTTGTCATTGTTTCACATTCCTTCATTATCCATTCTGCATATGGCAGATTTTTTTGTGATATCGCGAATATATCAGTGTTTAGAGTTTTATTTGGTCCGACAAGCGAGAAAATAACCTACTGCTCAACAAGGTAAGCTTTCAATAACAAACGGAACCTGGAATACTTTCCTTTCCTTTTTCAGATGAATTCGATTTCACGATTTATATCGAATTGACTTGCATTCGGAATTACTGGGGTTTGTGAATGATTATACGATTCATCTGCAATAATTGATCATTGATTCAGATAGACTGTTTAACGTTCGCATACAAATCGTTTCTTGGTACGGAAAAAAAATGATA